GAGGGGGGAGGAGATAAAATGGTCTCTTTTCTTCTATACTACTAGGTTTAAATAATTCTTTAGGTATCATTTAATGAGTTCATTCGGATAATATGAAGGTAAGAAGACCGTTTCTAATAGACCCTTGACTCAAGTTGAGAATAAAAAAATCATTTTTAAAAATGAAAAAAAATCAAGTCGAAGGCAATATAGAATAAAATGGAGAAAATTGTAGTAGCAATAATCAATAATATGATAATCAAAGCAAATTAGGCAACAACAATAATAAAATCGAAGATAACAGGAAAATAATAGTAAATATATATCCTCTCCCCCCCCCCTTCCTTTTAATTGTCTTTTTTTCTAGCTTAGCTACTAATATTACTACTAATTTAGCATGGCTAGGACCTCCACCAACGCCACCAGTTACATTAACTCCGTCATACAAATATAGAGGTTGTGTTTAAATATTTTCTTTAGTCCTAGTAAAATACAAGTCATAGAATTATCTAAAGTGTTATTTACTAAAACAATATAAAATATGAGATAAGGGTGATGGTCCTTAATTGTTGAAACATTATCATTGAGATGACGATCTTTAGGTGTATTATTCATAGTCTACTAAATCATAAAATTGATAATTTTATTTCTTAATTTCTGACATTATACATAATATTCTTGAGAAATAGTTAGTGTAGTGATTTAATTATAGTTATTCCAACTTTAAATAGATCGATGATCACATAATTATGACATTATACATCACCGATCGAAAGATGATTTTTCAATAGTAGTGATTTTTGTGTTACTAGGGTGAAAGTTTTGCAATTTTTCTGTGAGAAAACTTAATCATGTTACTTTAGTGAAAAGACATCATAGATTGTACTGGTTGAAATAATTTGATCTATGATCGTATTGAAATTTAAGACAAAATATATCTAATTAATAATATTGGAAATTAATTTTAAAAAATGTCATTTTTACTTCTCCTTCCTTAGAAAGCCAAATGTCATTTTCATTTTCTTGGTTTTTGTAGCATTTGGACCATTACTTAGAGAGCTCGTGAGTTATATGAATTTACACATTGAATTTATATCAAGTCTCGAATCATTTAAAATTTGAGAGAATTTGAAAATCCTTTACAATCTCGCTATCCTAGCTTTAAAATCAACACCGAAGGAGTTGAATGAAATGATCGAGCTGAAGAAATTGAATGAAGTTGCTTTCAAAAACACATAGTAGTTTCACTCGAATTTAGATACCTACAAGAATGCGTTGAACGCAATAAAAAAGTCATTTCTTTACGAATTATTTGTATTTTTTTTATTTCTTTTGCCTCCATATTCATCATTCATGTGATTATAATAGGGTAAAAAACTTAAATATACAATTTAAGCACCTAAATAACCTCTATATAACAATAGTTTGACTTTACACCAACATAGCAATAGAATCTTTACAAAATAAAATAAAATAAAAATAAATTTAAAAAAATGGTAAAAGAAAAATAAGCAATGCATCATTCAATATTAAATAAGATATTAATTCCTTAATTTACTTCAATTCAGTTACCTTCCACAAATATTCATTACTTAATATTTCTCTCTCATATCTCAAAATAACGTATTGTATCCAAAAACAAAGTATTTATCTCATGTTTAAGGTCGTTTCAATGGTTGAAAGCAAGAACATGTCCATTTTAATTCAGCACGACAAATATGAGATCACCGGTATGTATCGTTTTTTTTAAATTACTTTTGATTTATTTTCTCTTAGGACGCGAGTTGAGGAGCGACTTCCACCACAATCAAACCACACCCCTATTAGAAGTCATGTGGGCTTTTCTTTAGGTTTATCGGATTTAGTTTCGCATCCAGAAAATCTTGGTTTTCACCGGAAGCAACTTTCTAATCTGAGTGACAATACACCAAGAGCTTTGGAAATTATGTTCGTGTGAGTTCTTACTTATGGATGTGAAGAGCTCCACATTCATGGCTAAGAAGTTGCAAACTTCTTTTTCATACTCGACTTATTTGTCACTCCTTCCCAACCGAAGGATATCTTAGCATAAGAGATTTCCTTTTCAACTGATCGAGTCGAACTACAAGCAGCCTGATACCCTAAGTTGAGGGATAAGTAGGTAGGATCAGTGCTGAAACTCGGCTGTATTCCAACATTCGTTCTTTAATCTTATTCTCGAGCATTCTGGTACCTCCATAATTCAACATCGGGATGACTTGTGAATTCTTTCAAAACGTGCGTCAAATCAAGTTTATCGAACTACAAGTGGCCTGAATTTTCATATAGTCTAAGATATGTAGGAAACCCATTTCCTGGGTTTGGCCATAATTCCTAAAGTCCGTACCAAAACTTTTTTTTTCCTTTTCTGAAAGATGAAGATGTGGTCGTCCAAAATTGGATTAGTCAATTTCATTTGCCTAGAATTTCTTTCATCAATTCGAGTCAAACGAGGGATAGTTGTTGACATCCAATTTTGGACCTCCATAATATATATTAATTATCGAGCTTCTTCAATTTCAAATGATTTAAAATAATTAGTTTTATAAAATTAAAAAAAAAATGTTTGCAAGTTATTTTAACTAGTTGTGTCACTTTTTAAAT